AGGGCATGCTGTCCAATAAAGTGCTGGAAGATGAGCCCCCGTCTGGACGGCACTCACAACACCTTCCAGCCAGTGTCAGGCTCACCCCTGAGGGCCTCCAGTGCTGGCCCGGACCCTGGTCCACCTCACATCCAGATTCCAGCACTGACCGTATTGGCAGCTTCTGCCTTATCTATAGACAGATCCATTTCTCAGAGGCCCCATGTCTTGAGTGGTCTCCTCCATTGTTCTGACAAACAGTCACCTGACTGGCACACAGTAGGTGCTCAGTAAATGCTTATCAGAGTCACTGGGACATGTAAACCATTGCACTGCTATAGGGTTCTGTTTCCAAAATGTCTTCAAGCACCTGGAACAGTTTTCAATCCTCCACCACGAGCCTGCATGGCATTTCACCTCCATTTCTGGCTGTCTATGAGACAGCCATGTTCAGACTTGGACAACTCTGCTCAGGCAAGTTTTGGGGTGCTGGGGGTGTGGTTCTTCCACTCTCACCACCAACCATGAGGACCAGCCCTTTAGCAAAATGTCCAGTGGGCCGCCCCACCCCTGCTCCTCCCAGTCACCAACCGGCCACCTCCCTGAAGTCTTCTGTGCAGCCTCCAAGTCTATCCAAACCAAGAGGTGTTGCTGCAGCTCAGGGCATGGCCCGTGAAATATAGGTGCTGGCCTCACTGGCAGCCTGAGTTCTATCCACCTAATCTCTCTGGAAGTGTAGTGCCTAAGGCACTGGACTGCTAACCAGAAGGTTGGCGGTTCAAACCTACTAGCCACTCCTTGGACAGAAGATTGAACAATCTACTTCCATAGTGATACTGCCTCAGAAACCCAAGGAGGGGGCACTATGAGTCGGGTCCAACTTGACGGCACATAGCAACAATCTCTCACCGGGGCCACTACAGGAGGCAGATGGGATGGTACGACACTAACGTGTGGCTGAGCCTCAGGGAGGCTTGGATTCAGGTCCTGGGCCATCCCTGACTGTACTGGGGCTAACAAGACACCGCTCCCCTGTGTCCACTCAGCACAACATGAGTGGGGTATGTCAGTGCCCCCTCCTGGGCTGCTGTGACACACGCCACGTCCTCAGGGATACACAGTACATGGCTCTTAGGGCCCTCAACCCTCTGGAACTGCAGGTAGCCATCACTTCCTACCCCGGGAGGTGTTCCTCCCTCCGTCCTTAGCCCAGAGAACTTGTCAGCCCCTCTGGGACATGCCGCATGGCTCCCTGTGACGTGGGGAAGGGGGGATTACTCTGAGCTCCATGGGGGACCAGACAGGCAGGCCCCTTCATGATCAGCCCAGCTCCCTGCCCTGAAGCCCCCGTCATCTGCTGCATCCCTGCTCTGAACTCACTGTTTCATAGTGGAGGCCTTGCCCCCAGCCCCTTGGAGGTTGCCTGTGCAGAAGGCCAGGTCCTACACCCGCCTCAGCAGGGCTCCAGGGCTTCCCCCTCTGGGACTCTGAGGACTCTGCTCCTCCCAGGCACATCAGTGGCTGGCCTCCCATTGGCTCAGTGCTCTGCCTGCTGTTAGATAACAACTCACAGTGACCCCACGTGACAGCAGGACTCCTCCATAGCATTTCCCAGGCTGTCACCTTTACAGGAGTGGATCACTAGGCCCTTCTTTCATGAAGCCACTGCTGGGTTTGAACCGCTAGCCTCTGGATAGCAGCAGAGTGCTTAACCATTGTGCCACCAGGGCTCTTATCGCTCTGGTCCAAACAACCCAAATCCAATGTCGTTGAGTTGATTCCACCCCATAGCGCCCCTAGAGGACAGAGTGGAACTGCCCCACAGGTTTCCAAGGCTGTCAATCTTCAGGGAAGCAAAGCCCAAACCACACCCCCCGCTGTGGAGTCGATTACGACCCACAGCGCCCCTAGAGGACAGAGTGGAACTGCACCACAGGGTCTGCAAGGCTGTCAATCTTCAAAGAAGCAAAGCCCAAACCATACCCACTGCCCTGAGCTGATTACAACCCATAGCACCCCTAGAGGACAGAGTGGAACTGCCCCTGAGGGTCCCAAGGCTGTCAATCTTTATGGAAGCAAAGCCTCCACCAAACCCACTGCTGTGGAGTCGATTCTGACCCACAGCGCCCCTAGAGGACAGAGTGGAACTGCCCCACAGGGTTTCCAAGGCTGTCATCTTTGCAGAAGCAAAGCCCAAACCAAACCCACTGCCATGGAATCAACTCCAACTCACAGTGCCCCTAGAGGACAGAGGAGAACTGCCTTATAGGGTGCCCAAGGCTGTAATGGGAGCTCTGGTAGCATAGTGCCTAGGACACTTGACTGCTAACCAGAAGGCTGATGGTTCAAACCCACCAGCCACTCCTCGGAAGGAAGGTTGGGCAATCCTACTTCCATAGTGATACTGCCTCGGAAACCCAAGGAGGGGTCGCTATGAGTCGGGGCCTACTCGACGGCAAATAACAACAACAACAACAAGGCTGTATTGTTTATAGAAGCAGAGTGACTCATCCTTCTCCTGCAGTGAGGCTGGTGGGAGGCCTTTAGGTTAGCAACTGAGCACTTTAACCACTGTGCTATCAGGGCTCTTCATTACTCTGATAACTCCATGTAAAACGTTGAAATGGCAAAAAGTGGCAGTGAACTTTGCTAACTTTATAGCATGCTCCAAAGCAGGGGTTTTCAACCACTGCTGCATGTTTCACATCTGGGGAGCATTTGATGATATTGGTACCCAAGGTCCACTTGCAGACTTGCTGTCTCAGCCACTCTGGGTGGGCTTGACAAAGCCTGGATTAAAGGACAGAAGTTGGTCTGCAATGAGATGGTCTTCCTTGGAGTTCTGCTTCTACTCTCTTCACTGTGTCACCAATCCTCAGTCCCCACACTTCTTTCCACCTGCACTGGCCTCATTACTGTGAGGAAAGGAGCCCTGGTAGAACAGCAGTGAAGTGCCTACCTGCTTACTGTAAGGTTGGAGGTTTAAAGCCATTCACCAGATCCACAGGAGAAAGACCTGGGGATGGGTTCCTTTAATGACTGACCCCTCTGGGGCAGTTCCACTCTGTCCTCTAGGGGCGCTGTGGGTCAGGATCGACTCCACGGCAGTGGGTGTGGTTTGGGCTTTGCTTCTGTGAAGATTGACAGCCTTGGAGACCCTGTGGGGCAGTTCCACTGTCTCCTCTAGGGGCGCTGTGGGTCAGAATCGACTCCACGGCAGTGGGTGTGGTTTGGGCTTTGCTTCTGTGAAGATTGACAGCCTTGGAGACCCTGTGGGGCAGTTCCACTGTGTCCTCTAGGGGCGCTGTGGGTCAGAATCGACTCCACGGCAGTGGGATTGGTTTGGGCTTTGCTTCCGTAAAGATTACAACCTTAGAAACCCTGTGGGACAGATCTACTCTGTCAAACAGGGCCATGATGAGTTGGAATGACTCGACAACACACAACAATAACAACACAGTATAAGCATGGCAACCTTCACCCAAAGCATCCAACTCAACAGGCTGTGAACGTGTCCCATGGAGTGTAAATAACAACATGCATTAGCCATGCGTGCATTAAGCACAGATTCTTCATATGCGCTGGACAGATTTTTTTTGCAAGTGCACACTGTTGTTGTCAGCATCCCCTTTGCTGACAGCCTCCTGGTGGGTCATGCAGGAGGCCATAGAGCACAGGTATAAAGTTACCATCATCCACAGTAAAAAGCTCATATTATTACTTGACACATGTTTATTAAATGAATAGGTAATGGCCCAATACATACATGTATTCTCTGCTACAGGGAATCAAAGTCCTGTTTGGCTGCCTCGTTTTCCACAGTATCTAGTTTAGAGCTAGGCACATAATAGGTGTCTCTTTTGAGTACCGGGGTGTAGAGTAGTTTTTGCTCTGATGAACGGTGTGAAGTTACAGCCCTGTCTTTTCATCTCTGCCTTCTACATCAAGCAAGCAATTACGTCATTGCTACCCAGACCCGAGGGGTCAAGGTCTCTAATTACCTGTAGCTCTGAGCACAGCTGAGAGAGTGTTTCCTCAACAGCAAGGGCCTCTAGGAAGAAAACATACACCATACAATGAAACAGGTGCACACAGACAAGCAGCAGTCCCCGTGAGATGTGGAACACGGCTTCCGGCAGCACTGACATCCCAGGACGACTCTGATCTGTGCTACCTGCCCACTCGGGTCACGTTTAGAGTGTGGTCCTGCTATGGAATCACTGGGTGGTGCAGTCAGCCTGCTCTGCTGCTGCTAACCAGAAGGTCAGGGGTTCACACCCACCCAGAGCGGCCACTTCCAGAAAATCAGCCACCCTGTGGAGCCCCAATGTACTGGCACCCCCTGGGCCACCATACATCAGAATCAGCTCCACGGCAACTGGGTTTCTGCTAAAATCCTGCTTTGAAGCCTTGTGGTTGGGTATCAGATACAGGTAAGCACCACCTCGTGGATGCAGTTCTGAGAAGCAACAGGGTCTCGTGTTCACACAAGCACTGTGTGTATCCAACATGGATCTGCATGCGTTTTTGTGAGTGCGGGTGCACACACTGTGTGTTTAAACAAACAACACACACATTCTATGTTTGTTTGCCAGTCGCATCCTCCCACTTACCCCCCGTATTTTCATAATTGCGCTATGCTAATTTTTATTTTTTACAGCAACATGTGAAAAAAGAATTGGCATAGCTCACTTACAAAAATACCTCGCAGGGGAGGGCACATTTGGCAACCAAACGTAGCAGTCATGCGTTATCTGCATAAAAATATAGTACACACCATGCAGAGAGATAGGTCTGTGTGACTTACAGAACCATGGAATTGTGCCCCCCATCTCAAAGGTAAAAAACTGAAAGCCCAGGGAAGGGCAGCGGCCGTGCCAAGTCTGCTCCCCCGTTCTCCTGACTCTGGTCCTATGGTATCAAGACCTTCCACGCCACTGACAGTGGGCTCACAGTGCTCACCTCATTAGTGGGCCCGCAGCCTCTTGGGGTCTGTGGCTTAACACGCATAGGTGGGAGTGCACTGAGCCCTGCCCGTTCTGGACACTGTGGTCAGTCCCTGTCACCTGGACAAGGCACGGCTTGTGAGGACAGGCCTCCCTAGAAGCCTCTGGACACAGCCAGGTCGTGTCAGCTGTAGTACGTCAGTGTGCCATGGCATAAAGGACCTGCCAGGGGTCAGAACCGCCACCTGCCTGTCACGGTCCTGCCACAAACTGCCCCGTGACCCTGGGCAAGTCACTTCACCTCTCTGGCTTCAGTTTGATCACTGTCAAGCTAGAGGGATTCAGGATGTGGAATTTTTGGAAAACTCATATGCAAGAGGCAGTTCACCTCCAGAAGTCCAGATCAAAGGGGTCCCTAAGAGGATTTTATAATTGTTAAATCACCACCGAGTTGATCTGGACTCACACTGCCCCTACTGGACAGAGTAAAACTGCCCCAGAGGGGTTCCAAGGCTGTCAATCTTTATAGAAGCAGACTGCTTCACCTCTCTTCTGTGGAGGGGCTGGTGGGTTTGAACCACTGACCCTTCAGTTAGCAGCTAAATGCTTACCCATTGCATTACCAGGACTCCTTTTATAATCATTAGATTAATGTGTGTGTGTGTGTGTGTGTGTATTCTCTCTCTCTCTCTCTGGTCTTTCCTTCATTTCTTAAAATTGTTCATGCTTTTTTAAGTTGGAATCTCATCGTTACAGCCTAAATAAGGAGAGGACAGACGACACTGGCCCAGGACCAGACAGCATTTTGTTCTGTTGGACATAAGGCTTGCGTGAGTCACAGCCAACTCGATAGCCAGTAACAACAACAGGGTGAACCGCATTTCCTCCTAGAAGAGAGTCGGCAACACAAGGCAGACGTGGACAGAATTAATCCCACGGTACTGAGCGAGTGAACGAAGGAGGGAATGGATGCGTGTTCGGGGAGGTGCGCGTGTCTTTGCCTGTCCTCGGGATGGTCTGTCTGCCTTCTTTCTTTGTTCTGTGAGCATCCAGGCTTCAGTCCCTGAGTTTGCACATTCGAGGGTGTTACTTGATGGGATGTCGGAGTATGGGAAACCCCTCCCCGACCCATGATGCCTGTTACCGTGACATTTAGAAAAGTATGTTGAGTTTCCTGGAACCCTTGTTCCACAGAGGAGGGTGGGCTGCTGGCTGGATTGTTCCTGCTCACCTCCCTTACCCAGCTCCATGGGCTGCAGCTCTGGGACATCCCGCATGAGCAGCAGGAAGTAGGCACGGAGTCCGTGGTACGCGTGCAGCAGCAGGTGGCACAGGTCGCGGTGCCACTTGTAGGCGTGCTGCATGCAGTTCTCCGAGGGCACGTAGAAGCTCCCCTGTGGGCAGGACACAAGCACACATGAGGGCTTTGCACCTGGCCCGGCCACACAGGGCCCTACCCGCTACCACCCACACCAACAGTCACAGAACGCCCGGCGGCGGGGATGTAGGCCCAGGGCCCAGAAACGTGGGGAAGGGACGAGCGCTTCGTTCTCAGGCAGATGGATCCTCCCGACCCCCCGCATGGGCAAGATTTAAATCTGTCCACCTCTGGCTCGTTGCACTTACATTCAAACAATGCAGCATTGAAAACAATGATGGCAAGTGACGGCGACAATGATGGCAATGAAGAGGACGGTGGTTGCAGGTGATGTGGCCTTGGCCTCCCAGGTTTGTGAGAACTTTATGGCATCCACTTACAAGGTGCCTTCCCCTGCAAGGTGCACTCTAGGGGAAGAGGTCATGGGGCAGCCAGAGGTGGGCTCCTGCTCACAGACAGGGAGGGACCGAGAAAGGGCCTTGCAGCAGGCAGGTGAGAAGGCGGTGGTGCTGGTAGGGAGAAGCCTGTATTTGTAAAACAGGAAGAAGCCGGGAGGTTGGAAAGGCAGTGTGCAAAGTGCAGGGTGTGAGAGGTTCCGCGTGGATCCCTGCAGCCCAGAACACTCGGCACGTTCTCTCTAGGTGCACACGGGAATGTTCTAAACCAGTGGGATTACACAGGCGGGGCTTCCAGCGAAGAGCACATCTTTCAGTCCACAGTGGAGACGCAGACACGATGAAGAAGGGATAGGACAGTCTGACTTTCTTGCAAAACCCAAGACAGAAGGATTTTCTGGGTGAATTTCAAGAGGGACTTTCTTTTTCTTCCTGAGAACAAAGGGTGGGATCTCATGGGAGTGATCTCTCAGGCGGTGGAAATGGGAGATACTGAGTCCTGGGATCCAGGCAGCAAACAGTTAAGCACTCCGCTATAACGGAAAGGCTGGTGGTTCGAATCCTTCCAGAGGCACCTCGGAAGGAAGGCCTGGAATTCCTACAAAGCACAGCTCCACCCTCACACACGTGGGGTTGCATGAGGTGGAGCCAGTTCAATAGGCAGTGGTTTGGATTTTGGTGCTTTGGAGCAGCATTCTAGAAAACTCCAGGGCACAGGACCTGCTGGTGATGTCTATGGCTTATGTGGCTGTGCTGGGACCCACAGTGCTGTGCTGCCTGCCTACTGCCTGGAGGAAACTCCAGGGAGGCATCACTGGGTTTCCACGCTCTGGTGGCTTTTGTGAGTCGGTCTGAGCAGCTGGCAACAGTGCGGCAGCCCCTGCCTCTCCTGGTTTCCCTGCTCCTTGCTGGTGCTGCCATCTGAGTGCTGAGCTGACCCGTCAGGGAGGGACAGGTCTGCGGGAGTCGCAGTGGCCTCACTAGGCTGGGCGTCATCCACTGCAGTAACTCATGATGTCACCACCCTCCATGGGCCTCCTCCCCTACCCGACCATACAGAATCCTCAGTCATGTTTGTTATCCATTTTAATCATAGATCAATATGTATTTATAATATAGATATAAATTGCTTAAATGCAATCCTTCTTAGATTATGCAAATTCTAACAACAAAACTGTTGTGTAAAATCTCTCCACGTTGAATGACATTATTAGTTAGAACATCATGAGTAACTGAGCAGAAGCCTTTCTTGACTTCCCTCCTCCTTTTTTCCGTTAATGCCTCCTTCATTCTCAAAACATTTATTGATACAGGTTCACAAATACCACTTACCACAATATTGTAGCTGAAACACCAAAAATGTGACAAAATCAGTGACTATCAAAACACTGGCAGCAACAACAGTGCATGCCTGTATCACATGCAGACCAAACCACATGATTTGAAGTGTCACTGTAACTGAGTAATGATGACAGCCCTGACCAGAGCTCATTAGAAGGTGCACAGAGTACATTTGCATAGAGTGTTAGACTTGTAGGTGCAGTGATACATGTAAGCTGGGCTTACCAAAAATGTTTTTGTGTTTTAACTAACTCCAGGGATATTTTTATTTAAAACTAATAAATTTATTCTTAAACAATGCACAAGCATCTTACAGGCAGTCTTTTTGGTGTCAACCCTTCCAGTGTCAGCCAATGTGGTCCACATCCCCTGGGATACCACTGAGCCCCCAACAGCGCCAGGAGGGCAGGTGAGGGTGCTGTGCCCATGCTCACTCTCTATTGTGATGAGAGTGTATAGTGTGTATAGTGTGCAGTCTGGATGAAGCCTCAGCTGTGTCACCCTGAGACTGTCTTAGGCCAGTTCTCGGGGAAAGAGGTGTGAGCAGTCAGTGGGGTGCTGTCTCAGGATGAACACTGTGGGGGGCAGGGAAGACCTACCCTGTCATACAGTCACAAGGATGACCTCAGCTGGTCCCAGAGGAGGTCTGGACGAGTCATGACCCCACAGGGCTGCCCTGCCTTGAGGCAGAGACCAAGTCTTTGTGCTTTTGCATGGACCAGCACTGGATGTGTGCTACCCCTGGGCAGGACGTGTGGCCTTGGTGTGCAGCCCTTCCCAGACAGGGAAAGTCCCAGAGAGTGGCCTGGCCAATGGGAATGGGAGAGGGGTCTGGGCACACATCACGGACTCGGGCTCCAAGACAGAGCCTCTCAGGACCTCTCTTCCATCCTCAGGGCCTCTCTTCCTCAGATTTGAGACCTGAGCTTGGGTTAGGGGATGGATGGGTCCCATCACATTTGAATGTAAGAATGACATTTAACAAGGTTTGGGATCAAAACACATGCCCATTTCACAACCAGAAAATTCAGTCCACTAGAGTGCCTATGGGGAGCTCTGGTAGCATAGTGCCTAAGGCACTTGACTGCTAACCAGAAGGCTGGCGGTTCAAACCTACCAGCCACTCCTCAGAAGGAAAGTTGGGCAATCTACTTCCATAGTGATACTGCCTCGGCAACCCAAGGAGGGGTCGCTATGAGTCGGGTCCGACTCGACAGCACATAACAACAACAACAACAAGAGTGCCTGTGTGCATCAGGTCCCAGGTAAGCCATATGTTCCCATTGTCATCTGTCTTAGGGTCAAAGGTTAAGAAGCCGATTCAGATGGAGAAAGACCAGATGGAGAAAGGCTAAGAAGCCAATTCAGATGGAGAAAGACCAGCAGTGCTTATGTGAAGCAAGGGGCATCCTCCTGGCTCTGAGGAACAAGAGGAAACCACTGTTTCCGAAACACTCACAAACATTCCCATCTGTTTATCTCATTTTGTCTCCAGTAAGCACCACACAAACAAGACACCCTGACTTTGACTTCCAAAGTAAAGCACACACATGGTAAAGTCACCAGTCACAGTACTGCCAAGGAGACAGCAGAGAGTGCCCCAATGCCCTGACCTCATTCATTCCTTGTGGATTCTCTAGAATACTGCCATATACATATATTCTTATGGATATGTATGTTCAAGCGGTTCTGGCAGTACAGTGGTTAAAGTATTTGGCTGCTAACCAAAAAGTCAGTGGTTTGAACCCACCAGCTGCTCCACAAGAGAAAGATGAAGCATTCTGATTTCAAAAAGATTGACAGCCTTGGAAACCCTGTGGGGCAGTTCTACTCTGTCCTCCCAGGGTGCTGTGAGTGGGAATCCACTTGACAGCAGTGGGTTTAAATGTATGTCCATTTTGAAAATAGACACACACACACACACACATACACACAACATACCCTAGACCCTCCTCTGTTCCTTGCTTTTCTCCCTTTCCATCCTGGAGTTCTTTCTGGACCATCCCCATTATAGAGATCAAAAGACTGAGGCCCAAAGACCTGAAAGACTCACGCAGGTCACCCTGCTTGCCAGCAGAGGCAACGAGTCTTAAAATCCCACTGGGGAAAGCTCCTCGGGCAGCCATGAATGTGGCTCAAAAGCAGGCCTGGCGGGGAACAGATTTCCAACCACGGCCCGTTTGCTCTGACGGAGGCATTCATGAGTCTTACGTATGCTAGCTGGGCCTGAGCAGAAATGAAAGCAGACAGGGATTAGCAGAGGCGTCACCTCCCACAGGTGCGAGTGTCCGTTTGTCTGCTCCAGGAAGC